TCCTCTGTTCTTAGGATTTTCCAGGCAAGAATATTAGACTTGGTTGCCATTTCCTTCTCCAGAGGATCTTCCCAACCCAGGTATCAAACCCAGGTCTCCAGCTCTGCAGGAAGATTCTTTACCGATTGAGCTACCAGGGAAGCCCTGGTAGATAGTAGACAGATATAGCTATATTAACACATATATATGGATAATGTTGTGTATGTTTTTAATGCACAGACTGCATCTGAAAGAATACCAAGAAATGTGGCCAAATGGCAGAGAGGAAAAGCACAGAAAATCTCTTCTGACTGTGTTAATGCATACTAGCCAAAGAAATACATCCAAAGATCTGTGGTTGACAAAGTTGGGTTTATTGACCCTCAGTAAGAAAGAAAAATACACACCATGGCAGAACTGAGGTGTTTTAGTTAGTGCGGTATAAGCAAGGACTTCCATATTTGGTCTTAAGTGATTTTTAAGGAGGCTCAAAGAAAGCAGATTTATTCTGGGTTGAACGCTCTATGGATGCAGGTATAGTTCTATAATTGGATATCTTAATAATTCTTATCTGGATGGCAAGAAGAACATAGTAACTTCTGTTCCTGGTAATAAAGCTGTAGCCACCCATATAAGCCAGGGTAGAGCAAATATTTGATCATTTTGTAGTTTGGACAACTTTCTTGTTTTTGTCTACATTCAGATGTGATTACAGAGTGGTCTCATTTTCATCCTGATCCATCACGGTCACAATGGCCTTTTCTGATCCGGTGTCCTATGAAACTGTTTATATTCAACAGAAGCACACCAAGGCCTGCTGGTAGTACCAATCCAGCTTCTGGTTGTTAAGCACTGTTTTGCTCTTTTTCAACTGTATATCCTTTGATGTGCCTTTACAATTTTTTACCATATATTTATCTATTCAAAATAATTTTTAAATGAATCTTAAGACTGAAAGAGACCTTAAAAGTCAGTGAGTTCTGAAACTGTCGCAACCCTCACCATGTTCTTCCCCTCCCACACCAAAGGAGTTTTGGGGGTTTTTTTCTCATAAATCCTCTACAAGTACAGCATCTGCTTGACTATCTCCAGTTTCACCATTGTACTCATTTATCAGGCAGCTCATGCCATAGTCAAGTGGCCCTGAATATTTTTGTTCAGACACCAAAGTGAACAATGCATTTGGTTATAATATTTTAATTGTTTTCACCCCAGCATGTTTGACCTCTTCAAATGTATCTTCTCCTATGGTAACCAGTGGAGCAGAATAATTACCTTTCTAATTTTATGTAAAATATTCCTATTAATACTCTCCCAACTGCAATTGTCTTTTTTTTGTGCCAGAGTTTCAACACTGTTCTGCATCTTTTGTTATCATTACATTTGCAGAGATTTTTATCTGTTGCTGCTGACAAACCCATTTGGCTTTGTACTCAATTACATGTAATTAGTCTTTTCTTCATGAACAAAAGATCAGGTGTCCTATTAATTCAATCCAAGATGCTATGGTAAGGTTGGCTGGACCCAATGATGTCTACTGAACCAAACATCACACTTCTGACAGATGCTCATAGTAACAAGATTTTTTTCAAACAATCAAATGCTTTTACTCCTGCCCACACAAAGTAGAGAAAGAAAATGCATTTTAACAGCTTAGAGGTTTATAATTTTCTATTAAAAAGCATGACTACAATTTAAAGCCTTCTCTGATATTTTTACCTCAATCCACACTCAGAAAAGGTAAAAATAAAAGTAACTTGTTTTCACTGGATATTTTTAGTTAAAATATGGGGGGGGTATCAGAAAAAAGTACATTAGTTGAAAAACTGGCAAAATCGGAATAAAGTCTATAGCTCAATTAACACTACTTACCAATGTTAATTTCCTGGATTTGATAATTGTAGTGTTGTTACATAAAGTGGTGCCCATTAGGGGAAGCTGGGTGAAGTGTACACTGGAATTTCCTATGTTATTCTGTAATTTCTCTAAAGTCTAACATTATTTCAAAAGGAAATATTAAAAAATACTTAGGTGAATAGACAATGATCTACAGAAACTTTAACACATATGCATAAGGACATATTAATTCATTTGTTTCATCTTTTGTTGAGTGCTTACTATGTATTAATGATCATTCTAGATTCTAGATCAAAACAAAATCTCTTCACTCAGGAAAATTATATTCTCCTGGGAAGAAGATAAAAAATAAACAGCAACAATATACATTTTAAATCATCATAGGAGCTATAAATAGAAAAAAAAACTGGGGTAGCAGAACAGAAAGGGTAAAGGTGAAATGTTTAATTTTATTAAGAATGGCCAGGGAGGCTTCTTCAACATCTACAAGATATATTTTAGCAGCACTGTTTGTAATTGCCTTAAAATATAAATGCTTATTATCCATTGAAAAGAGAATGGATAAATGTATTTTGGTATGTTCACGCAATGGGATACTTTACAAAAATGAAAATGAGTGATATAAAGCAAATACATCACCATATATGCATCAGATGGCCATGATATTGGGGGGAAAATACATAAAATTATATACAGTAATGTTCCTCTTAAAAAAGTTTAAAACCATGCAAAACAATGCCATGCATGATGTATATGATACATGCCTCATATATATATGAAAAATGTACTTGTAAACCTGCATGGAAATAAAAAAAAAGTCAAATTCAGGATAGTTGTTATACCTGGTACTGAAGGGGAAAAGCAGGACTCTACCATTTTGAAAGAGCATACTGGGGCTTCAGATGTAATGATGTTTTTAACTAAATCTTAAACCAAGGGTTGGGTATCCAAATGAATTTATTAAGTCTTATTATCTTGTATATTTAAAGCCCTTTTAATACCAATGTGTTAATAAATGTATGCAGTAGTTTATTTTAATAAAATATAAGGTATTTTAAATTTCTAGTTTCTAAAAGTATGTGACCAAACATAGTACCCTCAGTGTGTGTGTCATGCATAATGCCATTAGGCCTATAAATATACATACATATATATACATATACACACACATATGTTTGTGTATAAATGTATATATTTACATGTGGTTGTAGATCTGCATTAGCCATTGACCCAGCATTTGGAGAGAGAGCACTTTCAACTATTGTTCTAAAAATGTTGAAGTGTTTCTGTTAGTGGACCCCACACTTTCCCCTCTCTGCCACTGCTCTATGATAAATGTCATGCGTTCACAGGACAGCATGGGTTACAGCTGCATCCTATTAAACTAAGTATGGCTATTTGGCTCACTTGAATCTATCTTCATAAATTCATAATTTTTCAATCTTTTTTTAAGTTGGGTGGCTGGTGCTGACAGAGGATATTAATGCTTTCATCTCCAGCCACCTCATCTTATAGAAAACGAAAGCAGATCAAGGGATACCAGGGGGTGACACAGCTAAGTAACATCCTTAATTCTTGCCATCTGCACTTGTAGCTTCATTAAATTTGCATTCAAGTTCAGATGCAATAAATGGAAATTCTACATGGAGAGGGAAGCATCCTTATTCATCTGGACTCAGGGAAAACCTTAAATCATTTAAAGAATGTATTTCCACAAACACGAACCAACAATGTGAAACACAATAAGCGAATCAACTCCTCAGCAGAAAATGGGCTGAAATTCTCTATAATAAGATCTTTTCTTTGTAATTCATATTTTGTAACATGCAACATTAAGTAAACAAAGATTAATTTAGAAGGGGTGGATAGGAGCATTTTCACACTCTAGGGATCATAAAACTTTCCTCAGATCTGTATTTTTCGCTGGTAGCTCAGCTGGTAAAGAATCTACCCGCAGTGCAAGAGATCTGGTTTCAATCCCTGGATTAGGAAGATGCCTTGGAGAAGGGAATGGCTACCCACTCCAGCATTCTTTCCTGGAGAATTCTATGAACAGAGGAGCCTGGTGGGCTACAGTCCATGAGGTGGCAAAGAGTCGGACATGACTGAGCAGCTAACACTTTCACCATAAAATATCAAGCTTTTAGATTACCTTATTCAGTTGAATAGAATGTCAATCTGACCACAAGTAAAAGAAAGAAAGAAAGTCTGACCAAAAAGTCACATCTATCAGAAGACAACTCAATTGGGTATAGATTTAATGAGCATTTACTATGTGACCAGTGACCAGTAATAAAGATCTAGCAGTGAATACAGACAAACTTTGGGAAACAATATAATGCACTACATAATTTTAGAATAATAGGAATTTCCTCCCCGGGTACCTATATATGATTATGTAGAAACTGAAAGGTATGATGAGAGTGGTCACTCCTGACTCTGAGGCTTATAATAAAAATGCTTCTGAAATGCAAATACACTCTATCAGGCCTTGATGATTTGGTAATTATCAAACTTGTCAGCCCTATAGTTAAATTAGTTAAACATTATTTCCAGAGATGTCATCAATAATCTTTTAATATTTGCATTTCATTTCAAAAAATTGTAAACAAAATTGCAGTTCTACTGGTGTTTATCATCTTATTACCATATATACTGTAAAATATAATATTTTAGTATAGTTTTCTTTTAAAATCAATAAATTTGGCCTCAGTCAAGATAAAATAACATGTAATATACAAATGTATATATTCAATATTTACTTTGAGAAGTAATTTTTGTCTTCCAGAAATGATGTTCTAAGACTCATTATAGTATTTTTACTATCCAGTTCTAGGATTAAAACACTACCTTGCGCTGGAAAGTATGCCTTGTTTCCGTGAATACTTAACATCATCCTGACCACAAACAATGGAATGAGAGGAAATTCTTGTCCACTGAGCAGTCAGAACTCCTTCAAGCCTCCTACTTTCTTATTGAGTACATAAGCTCTATCCATTACTGTCTCTTTGCTATAGGAATCATACCAAAAGGACAAAGGAAAAGACAACTAGCTTACTAGTAGTTGAACCGTCCCAAAGGCAGCCTGGCTGTGCTTTAAGTCTAAGAGACACTAAGCCATACATCTGATTGTAATTGGATTGCACGAAGCTAATGTTCCTTACTGTAGTCGCTGTTTTCGTCCTTGGTCCCATCGATGGTACCATCTGGGTGCATCTGCAGGAAATATCCCTGCTGGCTGAATAACCTTGTCACAATTCCTTTCAGCTGGGGTTCTGCAAAACAAAATGAAATGATTATTCAAGTTTTTATTTGGTTTGTAAAAATGCACACTTGCAAATTATCAAAAACATCCCGTAAGTCAATGCATAAATGCCAATGGTTTAAATACTGAAGTGACTATTTGGAAAGGAGGAATTTTGGTAACATAGCTTTACTTTTTTTCTTTCTAAAGGCAGATCCATAATATTCTGCAACAGTAAACCAAATGTAAATGAATAAAAGTGAAAGTTAAAGTCACTCAGTCGCGTCTGACTGTGACTCCATGGTCTATACAGTCCATGGAATTCTCCAGGCCAGAATACTGGAGTGGGTAGCCTTTCCCTTCTCTGGGAGATCTTCACAGCCCAGGGATCGAACCCAGGTCTCCCACATTGCAGGCAGATTCTTTTACCAGCTGAGCCACAAAGGAAGCCTAAATGAATAAAAGCTAATTATGATTAGGAAAATACAGAGGTGTGCTAAAAACTGAGTTATCCCTCTCCCTTGTGCATCTAGCATCTGGCTTCAATATACCACCAAGCTTGTGGTCCCATTCCAGAATACTGTTCAGACCAAACTGCCAGTGTATTTCCTAAGCTTTCAGCAGTTATAATCAGGTCCTGGAAGAACTTCTATTTCTGCTGAATGACAACTATCTATCAGAAACGCCCGGTTTTAAAATTCAAATCAAATTCAGTCTTGGATGAGATCCACAGAATAAAGTTAAACCCTCCAAGGCCATGAGGTGTCACTGGAAGTATGTGGAAACAGATTTCACCTTCAGTAACTGCATCACCAGAGCAGGCCCCAATACCACAAGAGTCATTTTTCCAATACAAAAAATAAATAAATAAAAATCAAGCCATATGTATTTCTGCAAATATTTCCAACTAGACGTGGTCTTCAGCTTTTAAAATTCCCGACATACTAACACCATCAAACTGATCTTTGTATAACACATTTGAATTTTTGTATAGCCACTAACCATAAATATTTAAAGCTTTTCACTGTGGTACTAGCTGTAGCAACAGTCTATTTTCTACAATATCACTACCACCTTTGTCTCTACTTCAGTGTTTGGTAACAATTAGACTACTCCAGCACACTTATAGGGGGCTTCCAGGTGGCTCAGTGGTAAAGAAGCAATCTGCCAATGCGGGAGATGCAGGTTCGATCCCTGAGTCAGGAAGATGCCCTGCAAAGGAAATGGCAACCTGCTCCAGTATTCTTGCCTGGAAAATCCCACAGACAGAGGAGCCTGGTGGGCTACAGTCCAAGGGGTAGCAAAGAATTGGACAGGAATGAGTGACTGAGCACATACACACACAAATATGCCCTATATTTATTGTCCTAATTATTTCATAAAAATTAGTAGGAAAAGAAAAATGCTGCTTCTGTTGACAAAAAAATGAGGTAAGGATGGGAATCATATGATTGGTGATGTAGTTATGCATTATCCTCAAAAGAGCAATCAATGAATTTCAACTGAGTCAGTTCCTTCACCAATTTATTAAAACCAATAATAATTCAGAATCTCTTTTGGGTGGGAGGGAGGGCAGGCAATATGCTAAGTACTGTGTGTTAAACTAAACACATTTATTGATGGTTGAATCTAAATAAGAGTTCCAGTTAAGGATGCAGTGCAACAAACTCTTTGGGAATAGACCTGCTCCCTACAACCATCATGTCTTTTACACTTACGACTAGATCACACATACTTGGGAATGTGAGGCGATCGATGCCTGTATAAACATTATCTTCTTCAAAGCAGTCCTAAAAAGTAGAAAAGATGCCCCCCCCCACACACACAAAAAAAACTGGTAATTATGAAGCTGCGTATTAAAGAGAACTAAATTGGAAATTAGGCATTCTGACTGATAACGATGTATTAACACTATGGGTTAAATAAATTCAATATATTTTAAATGTGTAGGCATTACTCAAACTGGGGCTCTGTAACAACCTAGAGGGGTGGGATGGGGAAGAAGGTGGCAGGGATATTTGAGAGAGTGGGGACACAGGTATACCAATGGCTGATTCATGTGGATGTTTGGCAGATACCAACACAATACTGTAAAGCAATTATCCTTCAATTAAAAATAAATAAATTTAATTAAAAAATAATAATTTGTAGGCCTTAACTTCCTCACCAATAAAATCTGGAAGTTAAAGTAAGTGATATCTAGGTCCTTTCTATGATTCTCTATTGACATTGAGCAACTATGACTTAAAGTCATAGTTGACTTTAAGAACTAAAGTTCTTTGACTTGAGAATCTTCTTCTCTAAAGAGTGCCAGAAATCAATCCACAGATTCATTCTGAATGTGTTCTCTCCACGCCCGCGCCCCCCAATAAGGGATATGTAGGAGAGCACGTATTGATAGCTAGCTAACCTCAATGCAAAAATATATACTGGACCCCGATCATCTATCAAACCCTACCAACCTTCCCAGGCTCAGTTCCAGATCACTTCCCCCAGGAAGACTTGGCTATTATGAAGTGTGAGTCACTTTCACAATCAGAGGAAAATAAGAATGTCTGAGCTTCTGCCGCAAGGCTAACTGGTTGACAGGTAAATGCTACTGCGGTACATTCAACTCTCGATTTGCACTCGGGAGACTCAGCTTTGAACCACAATTGCTGTGGGGTCCTGAGCAAGTCACTTAGTATCTGAGGCTATTCTCCTGATCTGTATAATGGGAAAAAATAATTCTATGCTATCTATCAACATTTAGAATTTCAGATGAATAAATAAATGTAATAGTGCGAAATGAAAAGCCCCATAATAATATAAACTCTAATTAAGGTCTAATTTTTCAACCCTGAAAACTGAGGAAACAGTTGAGTTCTTAATGTCACTAAAGTAACCAAAAGACTAACAGCAGATGATAGAAAAGGACAGATGGAAGGAAAGGGAAAACTGTCTTATAATTCATATTTTATTTCTAATAAACTTGATCAGATCACCTTAAGAAGTCATGTTTTGGCTGGTAATGAGATGCATGGCAGCTGAATCATTAAAGTCTGAAAATGACTTTTTTTTTCATGCTCCTCTTTCTGTAGTGGTAATTAAACACTTCTTTTGCCATGGTGAAGTTATCTCTCTGTTGGGACCCTGGGAATTCAGGTTGGTAACTCCTGTTAAAGATAATGAGCATTGGGCTTGTATATCAATCTCGACTGCCCAGAAGCAGTGCCAGAACAAGCTCAGAGTCTGGGTTTTAATTATATGAATATTTATGAAAGTGAATGTTTTACACAATAGCTGTTTCAAAGGAGATCTGATCATCTATTAAATAAATGCTCTGAACCTAGGATGTGTCATAGAAAGCAGTATGGCATGCCTGACAGGGCTATACCTTTATTATCATCAAACCCTATCAACCTTTCCAGGCTCAGTTCAAAATCACCTCTACCAGAAAGGTGTGGCTGTCATAAGGGAGGATCATTTTATAATTGGGGGAATAAAAGAAAGTGTTTTGTTGTATTTTAAAGAAAGAGGTTTAAAAATGAGACCACTTTTTGGGACATCTAACATTCTGGGTGCATTCAACAAACATGCTTTATATTTTTCAGACTATGCTTAGGGATCTAACAAATCAATAAGACCTGTGCTGTCCTCAGGGAGCACATAGTCTAATGCATGAAACATACATATATATAATTCTAGTGTGGGTAACTGTTAAATTATGAATGGAAGCAGAGTGACATGATACCATAAGGAGCAAGGGACTAATTCTGTCTTGAGGCTTGATGAAGGCACCTCATCTGTCACTTGAAGAGTGAATGCACTTTCATAGGCAAAGAAACCACAGGAAGAGCACTGCAGACAAACAATGGGTAAAGAAAAAAACAGCATGGCAGACTTTGGGAATGATGCAGAATCTGGCCCAGGTATAATATATGGCAGAAGTTTTCAAATGCTGACATGTAGGTAACCGCCTATTCTCAACAAATGTTCATAGGTCAACAGTGAAATAAGAAAAATAAGGTCAATGGAATAAGTTTTATTAAGCTAATTTTATATTCAATTTATATGATTCTCCTTGATTCTAAGATTATGTTTTCCATTATATTTTCATTTTTTAATGAAATGATGGCTATATTATTAGATGGTGAGAAGACATGGGTTTGGTTTATTCCCTTTTGTATTCTGAAGTAGTGTAGCAAATACTGCTAGATTTTCTCCAAAATCCATTTCCTCTTTTTCCTGGGCACCCAGCTAGACCATATGTCCTAGCCTCGCTTGCAGTTAGGTTTGGCAGATGAATGAGTGTCATATGGAATGTTAAGTGGAAGTGATGTGTGCCATTTTCAGGCCAAGGCTTTTAAAAGCAAACATTCTCCTCCACATTTTCCCTTCCTTATTGCTGGCTGGATTTAGATGACAAAGCCCTAGAAGATGTCAACAAAATAGGAGAATTCTGGTGGAAAAAAAAGACTACAGCCATCAGAAATACCCACCCTGGACAGTTAGGTGAATAAGAACTAGCAGTGGTTATACATAGTGACTTCCTTCCTAAGAGAATATGAAAAGGGGATGGAGGGTGGGAGGTTACATCACTGCAGAAATCTGACAAATAAAATGCTATCTCAGCCAGGGGGTCAGGGTTAAGGTCAACAGTCACGAAACATGCTGACAGTACCTACTCTTGGTATGATGTGAATGGCAATTTACCTCTGTGATCTTCCTCCCCAAAACCCATAACCCCAGTCTATTCATGAGAAAAACATCAAACAAATCTCAACTGAAGGATATTCTACAAAACAACTGACCAGTACCCCTTGAAACTGTCAAAAAATTAAAAGAAAAAAAAAAGAAATTCTGAGAAAATGTCACAGCAAAAAGGAGCCTAAGGAGATACAACAACAAATGCAATGTGGTGTCCTTGATGTGACCCTGGAACTGAAAAAGGACATTAGGCAAAAGTTGAGGACATCCGAATAAAGTATGGACTTGCCCTTGGACTGCAAGGAGATCCAACCAGTCCATCCTAAAGGAGATCAGTCCTGG